TAATGTTTTTTAATAAAAAAAAAAGAAAAGAAAAGAAAAGGGCTTGTTCAGGGCATTCCGGATTTTGGAATGGCAGGCAAGGGATGGAGGGCCCATTTCCATGAAGGTCTCCCACACAGCTCTGCAGACGTCAGGGCACCGTGTAATGGCAAGATGTCCCGTGCATGCTACGTCCCCATGACCACAATGAGAACCTGGAGGACACCTACTGGAGACCTGGGTCCGGAGTGGGCTCTTGGGGCATGTGCACCTACTCAGGGAGACCAGAGAGGTGTGTGGGGTAAAGAAAACAGCCCTGGACTAAGGCATAGTGGAAAAGATTCAGAGGCAACTCTAGTCCCTCTGAGCCAGTTATTTTGGGAAAAGCACAAGACCAATTCGGCAAACATCCAAAGACTGGTAAAAGGTGTCATAAAAAAAAAAATAGTTCCATGCCTCAGTGTTGGCTTATGTAGAATTTCACAGCATTGTCTGGCCCCCCCCAAAAAAAATCCTCCTTCCTTTCATTTTTTCAAATGAAGTGACCTCCTGTTGTCCTCAACTGTGTGCTCCTCAAGGGCAGCCATCATGCTGTGACAAATAACCATAAACTTGGTGGCTTAACAGAACATGAAGCTATTACAACTATTATCTTATAGTTCTGGAAGGCCAGAAGTCCAGAGCATGTCTCACTGCGCTAAGAAGTGTCAGCAGGGCTGCGCTCCTTCTGGAGGCCGTCGGGACAGACTGTCGCCCTGCCTGCTCCATCTCCCTCAAGCCGCCTGTGTTCCTTGGCTCACGGTCCCTTCCTTCACCATCAAACAGGAAATGGAAGGTGAAGGCTTTCTCACCCCACATCACTCTGACCAGCTCTGGCCCTCCTACCTCCCTCTTTCACTTTTCAGGAGCTTTGCTCTTAGAGGAGGCTCACCTGGATAATCTCCTCATCTCAAAATCTTAAATTAATCACATCTGCCAAGTTCTCTGCCTTGCACTGTCACATATGCACAAGTTCTGGGAATTAGGATCAGGATTAGGGCATATTTGGGGGGTGGGTGGGGAGGCAGTAGTGTCTACAAGAATATCTAAATTTCTTTTGCATCGCCAGCATCTAATGCAGCGCCAGGCACATAGCAGAGACTTTATAAATGTCCGCTCAGCTTTTATTCATATTACTTAAATGTCTCCAAGCATTAGTTCCCTCATCTATAAACAGAGATAAAAATACCTATTAGGAGCCTCACATGAAATAATGCATATGAAAGTGCTCTGATAACTGTAAAGAACCCCCCAAATGAAGATCAGATCTCACTGACTAGTAGTAGGAAATCCACATATTCATTTGTGAAAGAGCTAGTATGTAAATAAGGAAAGACAGCAGGATGCTGAGAGCATCTGATGCAATTCAGTAAGGTATTATGGAAGACAGTCGCCGGGGGATCTAAATCATGTTATTATGTGGCTTCGAGGTAGTCCGGTTTGGGACAGTACATAATTCAGTGCCCAAATTTAAGAGGGCACTATTAACATTTACTCTGGGACGAAAGTATCAGCTAGGACCCTTGCAGGCAAACAGAACACATTGTCACCCCACATACTACACGGGGCTCTGGGGCCAGACTGCTTGCAGCCAAATCCAGATCCACGCTTAGAGCTTTGAGACTTGGGGCACATTATTTAACCCCCTCTCTGTCTTGGTTTCCTCTTCTGTAAAATAGGGATAACAGACACCCCCGCCCCCCAATGCTGGTGTGAGGATCAGATGAGTGATTCCATATGGAGCATCCAGAACAGCACCCAGAACACTGACCTTATTAGAGGTCAGCAGAAGTTAGCGATCATTATACAGCAAAGCCAGCCATACTCTACATTCTCACAAATTCTCGGCGCAGAACTCCTAGTGTTTTCCCACAAGCTCAGCCAGAAGGCAAAGGGCTGGCATGGCTTAGCACCAGTAAACACATCTCCCGGACAGGTGACAATCTTTTCGTTGATACCTGCTCCCTCATACCCCCATTTCTGCTTTCACATCCCCGCCCTTGAGCTCACTGTGGAAGGCCGAGCTGCGGGGCCGGCCTGCACTCCTACAGTGCTTGGTCATGAAATACAGCCAAGCCCTTTGTTATTAGAGCAGGAGACAGGATGACTGGAAGATTAACTCCCTAAAGCAGCAGTCTCTGCAGTGAGTGCTGTTGTGTCCAGCTGATAGAGGGGGTGATATTTCCCTTCTAATTTTAAACTTCAGCACACTAAAATTATAATGTGCTCGCGTTTAAAATGCAAGCTGCACAAACATGTTCCTGCATAGATTGCCTCTTGTCACCTTCTGTCCTAAACGAAACCCAAGTTATTATGTCTCAACAGAGAGATGTTACAAGTACAAACTCAACTGCTTTCTGCTGAGCTTGGAATAATGATAATGATTATGCTATCTTACAGATTATAAAAATATTAGCTACAGCAATTAATATTGATTCAGTGCACAGTATGAGCCAGGCATTGTTCGAAGCGCATCCTGGGCATGTAAGCTCCAACAAGTCTATGAAGTAGGGACTGTTACGATCCCCATTTACAGATGAGAAAAAGAAAGCACAGAGAGGTGAAGGGAAGGACGAAACTCTGGCAGTCTGACTTGACACTTCACACTCTTAAACACAAACTCTGCTCCCTCTTGAGCAGGAAAGCAAACACCCCTCTTGCATGGCAGGAGCCGTCCTGGGATACTGCATTACTGAAAAGAACAAGTCCTCCACTTGTCTGTGCGTTTGCTGTGCCCTCTGTGCCCACTGCCGGCATCTCCTTTGTCTGCCTGGCAAACTCCTACACATCCCGTACCACCCTGCTCTCTTCCAGCCCCCAGGACAGCACTGGGCGCACCGCAGGCTCTCAAGGCAAAAAGTGAGATTTCAGTGTGGCAGCTATCCAGCAACTGTTAAATTCTGTTAGGCACTGATGTTTAAACAGTTTCAGCTGTGCAAAGGGATTCAAAGCAGGTTTTCTTTTCAGAGCAAGCTTCTCAGGTGAATTTAAGATATGATTTGAGTGACAAGGGCTGTGACTGGCATTTACCTGAGATTACATTAGACATGATGATGACACGCACAGGGCTACAACGCGTAGCTTCACACAAACCTCATGCGTTTCAGGAGAGGTAGGGCTGTTGGTTTTCTTCAACTCCATTTACTAAAGCTACACAGACTCAGAAGCACCTGCCACCAGAACCATCCGCTCCCTTCCAGTGCCACAAGCCCCGCTCCCCACCCCCGGACACAGGGGAAGCTGGGTGTGAGGCTGCAGTGTGGCACCCGAATCCCACCCGCCACCTTACTTGTTAATGTTGCTGCCTTCTTTGAGTCGCTCTCCTGCAGCTCCTGTTTTGGACACTCTTTCACTACCCGCCAGGTCCACCAGGCTGACCTTACTGACCTTCTCTCCCGAGTTCTGGGTGCAGGGAACAAGAGAGAAACAACACACGTGAGTGCAAATGCACACGTCCACGCCGACGTCTGCACGGTAACTGAGGGCAGCCGGAGTAGCCCTGCCCCCACAACAGGGCAGGGGAGGAGCTACGTGGACTCGCGATTTCATGGTCAAATTTATTTTTTTTAATTTTTACTTTTTTGAAGTTCTATTCGTTCAAGTCATCTCTACACCCAACGTGGGGCTCGAACTCACGACCCCGAGATTAAGAGTCACATGCTCGTCTACCTGGGTCAGCCAGGCGCCCCATCACAGTCCAATCTGGACCGGTGCGCGTCTGCTTTGTAGCTGGGCAGCAAGCCCGCTCAGCTTTCCAGGATGCCCTCAGAGAGCCGGGGATTTTCTGTGCCTCTGAGGAAACACGTGAGGATTCCTGCATATTCAGGTCAAATGCCTCTTCTTTTGAAAAAGTGTTCTTTAGGCTAAACGCTGTGGTTTCCTCCTTAATAGCCCTTAATGGCTATGAGGTAGACTCCGTTGTTTTTAGGGGAATTTCGGAATGGAAGGATACATATTAAAAGCTGTATGGTGACATCATCATGCTGTTCAGGGAGTTTACACAAGAAACCCAATTTTTAAAAAAAAAAAAAGTTATATATAAAGGAAGACCTGATAAATTGAACGATTTAAGTAAAGTAGCTTATTTAGTAAGCAGCAAAGCCAGCATAAAATCCACCCATGAAACCCTTCACCCCTGCAGGATATTTGCGTTCTTTTCCTGCACTGAAGGCCCTCCCCAGGCCCTCACCCCGGACTGCAGGTCATAAAGTGTCTGTGTGATTACGATGTTGAACACAGCATGGGAGCGGCTGCTTTCCTCATTCATGTTGGTCGCAGCTACCGTCCGAGACTTATTTCCCTCAGACATCAATGACTCAATATCCTACAGGCAAAGCAGAAGGAACACAGGATAAGCGCAAACACAGGAATGCAGTCCTGCCCGCCAGCTGCACGGATTAATTACAAGCCCCGGGACGTGCTTGGCCCCGCCCTTCCGTAAGGACCGCCTCCCCGGCTGCCTTCCGCGGCGAAGTGGGTGAGCTTCCACCTCTCTCACCGCCTTCCGGAATATGAAATGTTCCCCCCATTCTGGCCATCCCGCAATCGTCCCCTTTCTCTGTTTGGCGCCTCTTTTTTCCCTTTGCAAGTTCCTGGGGGAGAAAGGAGCTAATGTTTATGGAGCACTCTAGATACTCACTATAAGGTAGTGACCTCAGGTGATTGTAACTCTCCTGTGCTTAACGACTCTACAGAGCTATCGACCTCGGCAGGGAATGCTCCTTATTCATCTTTGAACACCTAGAACCCACGGGCTCTTACACATGTCAGATGCATGAACTTTATAATAAACAAGTATTCCCCTGATGTTACCCACAGAACACTGACGTTCACAGAGCTCAAGTAACTTTTCCCACATCTAGTAAGAGGCACAGCGGGGATGCAAATCACAAGCTCCTTGGCTCTTACTAATAAGTGACAGGGTGAGATGAACACGGACCCCGACCACACTGAGCTGTGAACCATGCACCTGAGCAAAGGTGCTGACTTTTAGCACCTTTACGACAGAGAGGTTTCCCTTCATTTCAGAATCTAGGTGCTTTTAAAGTGATGGCTGTACTCTGTTTCTCATTTGAGTGATACTAAAAATGTCTTCATCTAAATGGCTGGGGGGAGTTAGCTCACAGATTAATTTTCGTCCTACTGAGTCGGAGGGGATGGTGGGACGGCCACAAGCCCCAGTGAGAACGACTAGGCAGAGGACGCCTTCACGCACTCTTGGGCCGGCATTCTCCAGCAACACAAAGTGGGCCGTTTTGGGGGGTTTCTGAAGCAATGACAATAGAAGTAAGGCTAAAACATCAAGTTGGGATGTAAAAAGGCATACAAGTCAAGGAGCAGGAAAAGGAGACGGGTCCGTCAATGGAGAGAGGAGCGATTCAGAAAAATAGAACCAGAAGACTGAAAATAATGGAAATGAGCACAGAAGATCCTGTCAGCAGGAAGGGAATGAATGGATTACCCAACGCTGCTTATGTGCGTCCAGGTTTCTCTAGAAGGACATCACTGACAACCTTGGGGAGAAGAGTTTCAACAAGGCGGCATGAAAGAAAATACTCAGCAGTCCACACTGGTGAGCCTCTTGGCTGCACTGTCATGCCTTCACGACAAAGCAGGTTGAAGCCCTTTCTTTCCGTGTAGGGTGTGTTGCTACCGGGTTTCTGGACCACGCATGGTACCAATATGCTATGAAGCACTCACATAAAAATACACTCAACATTACCTACACATTTCAATTTACTTTTTTTTTTTTAATGATACTTACCTCAAAACTAGTGACAGCCAGCTGGGATAAACCGTCTACATATGGTCCCAAAACTTTATGCTCTCGAACTTTAAGAGACTGTCTATTCCTTTGGGAGGAAAGAAATAGGAATGAATGAATCAGACCAAACTGGGAACCTTTTCTTTCTTTTTAGGTACTCAAAAACTAAGGTTGCAATTTTTTTAATGATCAAAAAATATTCTAAAAGCTACTTTATTTGGATTAGGAAAACAGCATTCCTTATGAGGAATGTCTTTTATACTCTGATTTCTATTTAAAGTAACTTACTATTTAAAACATTCTATCTCTACTCCCAAACTAAACAGCCAGCACACAGAATTCGAGGGTAAGCTAACTTGCTTGCTTTAGTCGATGAACTTCAGTTTTAACAGGAGGAAAAAAAAAAAAAGAAGGAAAGAACATGCAGAATTAAGTTTAACCTTAAGATTATTTCATACACAAGCACACTCCCAGTTTCAGTAAATCATGTCTAAAGGTTTTGATCAAGTAGTGAACAATATTAAAGTATTTTAATTTGCTTCTTTAAGGCTGAAGTGATTTATGCTGCTTCTATGCTAACAATTTTATACAGAAAATGATAGAGCAGGAAAGCAGTTGTTTGCAGTTACTGATATTTATCCTATATTTAGAATTGGCTCTGCTGGTGAAGACTTTAAGACTTTTAAAAATTTTTAAATGACAAACCTGGTTTGGGACCCATTTAAAGCTTATCAACACATACTGAGATTAAAAGCAAATCTATATATATTATGAGTATATTGCATTTGTCACCTTTTCCATTGCATCAGATATTGATCACCTTTCAAATCAAGTGTCGATGTTTGGCATCACTTAAGTGTGGAAAAAACGGAACTAAGAATCACTGAGTGTTTCCCAAAGTCGTGGCACTGTTCCCTAAGAACTTTTTAGTTATCCCATTTAATCTTACAGTAACCTACAAAGTAGGTTTTCCTGTCTTTACTGATGAAGAATTCAACGTGACAACAAGCAATTCTGTGTACTCTAAATGGGGGCAGATCAAATACACATCTTCAAGAGAGCTAGCGGGATGCACACGGATCTGAGACTCTACTCACTCGCCTTGCACAACCAGAGATTCTTGAATGCTATTCTGGAGCCAGAAAAAGTAACCTAGCACAGTATCAAGTGCTTGTGATGGTGTCTCACACAGGGCATTCTTATACACTGCTGGTGGGCTGTGAACTGGTATGAGTCCTTTGAAAGACAATTAGGCAGGACCTCCTAACGCCAAAAATTCGGTATCCTGTGGCCCACAGGTCCACCCCAGATGTATTCCCTAGGAACTCCTACATTTGCACACCCAGAGAACTGCGCAAGAATGCTCAGAGTAGCACTGTGGCAGTAAAAAGTAGAAACCACACAAGTGATAGCAGATGAGATAGGCTATGGTATAATCATACAATGAAACACCAAAGAGCAGTAAAAGTGAATGCATTATTACTTCATGTATCAGAATGAATGAATCATTAAGAAGAAAACAGCAAGTCAACAAAGGACATATATATTATGATCTCCCTCACACAAAGTTTAAAATTGTGCAAAATTCTGTGTAAACTCTAAGGAGGATGAAGATAATGAGAAACGTAAAATTCATCATTGTGGTTACCTTGGAGAGGGAAGGGAATGGAATGGAATCCAAGAGAATCATAAAGGGGTTCAAAAATATTGGTCATGTTCCATTTATTAAGCCAAATGGTAAGTAGGACGGTCAATTTTATTTTTCTTTATATCTTACATGTATTATAAATGTTCTTTCATATGCAAATAGTTAATAACTTTAAAGTCAATATAAACATTTCCTATGATTGGTTCACTTCCTTATCACCTACAATTCCGATCTTATGATGATACCCTTGATTACACAGCTGCTAAAAGCATTTAAAAATAATTCAGGATACTGAACTGAATTTAGAGAATGAGCTCAACACTCCCCCCGCCTCCTGGAGACTTGAAACACAGGATCAAAATACACCAAAGTATTAACAATGGTTATTTTTGAGTGGTGGGATTACAGGTCATTTTTATTTCTTCTTACACTTTGCCTGTTTTCTAAATTTTCTATGAGTATGTATTATTTTTAAATCAGCAAAAAATTTTTTTTATGAATCAAACTCCTCTGGTTTTTATCACCTAGTTTTTAAAAAATACCCATGCTTGGGATTCCCCTTGGGGCCACTGAATCATGGTCTCAATGGGTGGGGCTCAGGCCAGTGTATGCTTCAAAAGCCCCCCAACATGATTCCAGCGCACAGCCCAGGAAGAGCATGCTTGTCCAGGCTGGTTCCAGCACTTACCTCCAATGTAGAGCTGCTGCCTTCCAACATGAATCAGAGGACCACTGCGTCATTCTTAACTCAATTTTTATGAACAAGCCATAGTAGCAAAAATAATACCGATAGTAAAAACATCTTTTTAAATGGCATATGTAAGCAACTTTACACATGAATACAGGATCAACCATATATACTGGGTATACCAGTAGGCTTTGAGAAGCAGATGCCTTCTCAGTGAATGAACTGAAACCACAGTAGTGACCAAATAAATATATTCACTTGCAGTTTTAACTTAAGGATCATTTACAATTATTACTCCCATGACAAGCTTAATTAAATCACTAACTTACCCTTTGGGGTCTAAAAGATCCCGCACTTTCTCATTATAAATTTCCATATAGGATACTTCGACTTTAAAGGTCTGTGACTCATTTTGCTCTAGAGAGATCCTTTTAAATAAAGCACAGCAGAGCCTTGGAATAAGGCCCAGCTGCTCAGCACTGCCCATCATGGAGAAGGATTTTCCTGAACCTGAAGAAGAGCAAGCAGAAAGGAAGGAGGACCACAGAGGGAGTGAAACATAATGCTTCCACATGACGAGGTCTCTACATTTATCTGCCAGGGTCACAGAGCAGAAGCGGCAAACGCAGCCTCACGCCCATGCCCCTGGACAGCAAGGCTACTATTCTTTCTGTAACGCTCACAACCTCCAGCTTGATGGAGCGGATGCCTACAAATAGAACCACTATGAATATGTAATCTTGAGAAGTATGTATAGTGAACGTCAACTATACATTACTGAGTAACACAGACAGTACTTTACCCCCACAATATTTTATGTTTGTGAAAATGCTTTGATACGTGTTCTCTTGTCTGAGTCTCGTAGCTGTCCGGTGATGGGACAACAGGCAATATTAGTGGGACTTATTCTAACTTTCTTGCTGAAGCAGTGTTAACGGCTGAGCCCCTAGCGAACTTCTGCTCTGCACGTTCCAAGCACCTGCCCCACAGTCTCGGTTTAATAATCCATTAGCACTCCTGTGTCCCAGGGAAGGTCCTCCGCATAGGATGATACCAAGAGTTGTCCTATGGCTTTTTACTATAACCTTTATACTGAGAAACTGGTAATTATTTTTCTATTTCAAATACAGGTTAAAGCTATAATTTAGGAAAATGACATTTAATAGTTTGAAACTAGCTTTGCTCAATTACTCAATTATCAAAATTGTTGAACCTTCAAAAAGAGGGTTACTTTTGATCATCTAATTCAGCAAAACCCACAAAGTCAGAAGCATGTTTCCGTCACTTCCCAAAGTGTTTTCTATTTCTAGACTTTAAGAAATGCATATTTAATGTCATTGGCTATAAATAAAAGCAGCTACTTACCTGTCTGTCCATATGCAAAAATACAAGCATTATACCCTTGAAAGGCTTTTTCAAGAATTCCTTCCCCAAGGCACTTGAAAACCACTTCTTGACCTAAAAACCAAAACAAAAAATAAAAAATTACAAAAGAAAAGAATGATTTTTCTTGGTTATGTTTGGATTAATAACTGAGCCCCAGTTAGTAACAACATTCTCTCAATCCAAAGATGTTAAAAGTGTACTGTGTGCCTACTATGTGCAGGGCTATGCGTTAAGAGCTCAGTTCCTGGATCAGTTCATGATTCTACTCATTCTTTCCCTCTCAGACACTTCTCTAGGCATAAAAGTTTCCTTTCCATGCTCAGTGGGCCATACAGAAGGATCATTTAAATTCTGTTCAGCTTCTTCTCATGAGCTGGTATTAAAATATCATTAAACATAAACGGTCTTATCTCCCCATCTGGATTCTGAGCTTGCACTGAGCAGGAACGTTGTCAGACTCATCCTGGTCCATGTAAGCACCCAGCACAACGCTAAGTGCATGCCAAATGCTGAGAAACTGTTCGCTGCTGGAGGAGGTGATGTGTGGAGCAGAGGCACCTCTACCCCGGTTCCCATGCTGGGTTCGAGGACAAGTTCTCTTCTGTGAGCCCGTCTACAGCTCACGGCAGCTCGTGGGGGTCTTCGGTCATGTACTACATAGCCAATAGCAGCTGTGAAAATCTTTTTTTTTTTTAAAGTAGGCTCCACACCCAATGTGGGGCCCGAACCCACAATCCTGAGATCAAGACCTGAATGGAGATCAAGAGTTGGACACCCAAACGACAGAGCCACGCAGGCGCCCCAGGTGTAAAAATCTTTTTAAACAGTTAAGGTGGCATTTACTACCCTTTGAAATTTCTGACTTTCTAACATGCATTCCCCATCATTAAGAGAATTAAAATGGTATTCTCCTTCCTCTGTGTTCTCATAGCCCCCAACTTTCATGATTACGGTATTTGCCAAAACTACTGGTTTAAGTACCTCTTCCCTCCACTGGGATGAGAACCCCCTGATTGAGGTCAGAGACTATAATCTGTTTATCTTTGTAATCCTCGGGCCTGGCACAAAACGCTTAATAAATGTTGAAAAAAATGAGTCCAATGAACTTTTTATTTTTTAATCTTACACGACAATTCCTTGTACATTTGGAAATAACACAACATAACGTAAGCTTTCAGGTGTACTGTTTCCTTTATGCAAAGCCGGACCTAATTCTGGCAGTCTCTTGTTACACTGGGACATGCGGCTGCACACTGGGACTCTCAGAGATGTGTAAGCACGAAACAAGTAATGTCTCCAACCATTAGGTTGGCAAAACATAAAATTGTGGCAACAATACAGCTAGACTGAGGAAATACAGGCATTTTCATAATCCGCTGGGGGGAGAATAAATAATGCAGCCACTTGAAGAAAACCTGACAGCACCTAGAAGAGAGAGAATATGCCCCTACTCGGAGCCAATGTGAGGCACCCACCCTAGAGACGTTCTGCAAGGGACTCCTGTAACAGAATGCTCGCAGCAGCATTATTTTGACTTTCTAAGTTGGAATCAAGTTAAATGCCCATTAGTAAGGGAGTAGAGAAGGAAAATGAGACTATTTTCTATGTTAGAATATTACAAACCATGTAAAAAAAAAAACAACCACCAAATAGAACACACCTGTGTGTGTAAACAATGCTAAAATTCAAAAACATTCCTGAGTTTAACAAAAGTCATGTTCCAATACCTTTAACGTATACATATAATGTAAAAAACTTATGTCAAATAGTGTGAAAGATCCACTGATGGGCACTAAAGTTGAAAAAAATGAATTGGAAGAAAAAATAACAGATTTACATAACCTTATTTCTCTAATTCTGACTTCTAACATCTAGCACAGAGCCTGGTACCTAAGGGGTATTCAGAACATGTTGGCGTAATATGTGGATTTTTAAAAAGGGTGTAACCACTCCTAAATGCACGGGTTTGTTGTGAAGACCAGCTACATATGTGTGCGCACACACACACTCTAAAAAGAATAAGGCAATGTCAAAATTTTTATCTACTATATCAGTACTTTTTTCCTGTACGTTTTCTCAAAGGATCTTCCTTATTCCACGTGTACTCCCCGCAACGCCCACGCCAAAAGACAGGCCTTAAATCTGGAGCAGAGCCCTGCAGTGTAGAATTTAGGGATTAAACCCAGCCTGCGCTCAGGCTTGTGAGAACCGACCGTGGTCCTCAGCCAGACCCAAGTGCCGCCAGCAGGCTCTGAAGGCACTGCTTTCGTGGCACAAGGAGACAAACAGAGCCATCTCGTGGCATCGTTCCACCCTGGTTAACCAGTCCCCCTCAGAAAGGGGGTGAGGGTGGGGACAAGATGCTTTAAGACCTGGCCAGGTCAAACATCCTGCTGGTAACTCTTGATTTCAACTCCTATTTAGTAACTTGAAAAAAAGCAAGAACTTGAGTTGACTAAGAACTCGACTGCAGGGAGCACTGTGGTCAGGGTTCGACCACGGCCATGCAAAGGCCTATGGCCACTTAGTCAGGAACCTCTCTCTTCCTATGTTAGGGGGTGAGATGCAGTACTTCTAGCTTTTCCTCCTGAGGCTGAGTAGGATGGAAGTATGAGGAATTATTTTCTCCATATTCTTTTATTTTTATTTTTTTTTAAGATTTATTTTAGAGAAAGAGAGTGACTGGGGGGAGGGACAGAGGGAGAGAAGCTCCAAGCAGACTCCCCGCTGAGTGTGGAGCCCAATGTGAGGCTTGATCTCACGACCCTGAGATCACGACCTGAGCCAAAACCAAGAGTCAGATGCTCAACTGACTGAGCCACCCAGGAGCCCCTCCATATTCTCTTAAAGGAAAATCGCAATTTTTTTTTCCCTTGGTACGAATGGTTTTTTAAACTAAAGAGCATTAGTCAAAAAAACCAAGAATGAATGCTACAGAGCTACATGAAATAGGTTTATGACATGTCAAGGAAAAAAAAACACAAAACCTTCCAGGATAGGATATATACACTAAATTTGCACAAAAAAAATAAACCAAATGATTAAAGAATTCTCCAGGATATAAAAATACATGAATAAATTGGGTTTGCCTATGTCTAAATGACTACAAATACTAAAGAGGATATGAATTAAACTTTTACTTTTTTTTTAAGATTTTATTTATTTGAGAGTGAGCAAGAGAGCGAGTACAAGTGGAGGTGGGGTGCAGAGGGGCAGAGGGAGAGGGAGAGCAGGGAGCCTGATATGGGGCTCGATCTCAGAACCCTGTAATCATGACCTGAGCCGAAGTCAGATGCTTAATTGACTGAGCCACCCAGGTGCCCAGATAAATTAACCTTTTAAACTTGTATACTTTCATTATTTGTGCAACTAAGAAGAAGAGAATTAATTTTTATCAACTGCCCCAATACCAATGCATTTTACATATTTTGTATCATTGAATCCTTGCAGACCCCAGGGCCAGCAGCATCTGTAAGGAGGCTGGGGTTCTAAAGGGGAGTCATTGGTCCAAGATCACACAGACAGTGAGTGGCAGGGCCTGGGTCTGTCTGTACTGCCTCTTGAATGTTAAAGGAGATGTTCACCTATCATCGGTGACTCAGATTGCACGACACCAGGAGTCAGTTACTCCCATGTCTGGTCTTTGTGGTTTTGTTTGTTTGTTTGTTTTTACAAACTCTAGATCTTATTATACCCCACTATTTTTTTCCATTTTTTTCTCTACCACTGGATTGCCAGTTTCTTTTTTTAAAAGATTTTATTTATTTATTCATTTGAGGGGGGAGGGGCAACGGGAGAGGGAGAGAGAGAATCTCAAGCAGACTCTACACTTAGCACGGAGCCTGATGCGAGGCTCGATCTCACGACTCTGAGATCATGACCTGAGCTGAAATCAAGAGTCAGATGCCCAACTGACTGAGCCTCCCAGACGTCCTGTGAGCTTTAAAAATAGGTGTTGTTGAATCTTAGCAGAGTACCTGTCAAACAGTAGGCACTTTTACTTCCCGAGTTATTCCTATATGTTGACATAGCTGTCCTCAGACTAAAGTGTATTTAATTGGGGAACCCTTTCCTCATTAGTGAGGACTGAGGCATCAAAATATTGTTTGTTTAACTTAAAAAGAAACATCTGGGGTGTCTGGCTGGCTCAGTTGGTAGAGCATGCAACT